AAAAAAAAAAAAAAAAGAAAAGGAAACAAATCCATTGTTCCCAATCCCAGATGTAACCACATTTTCTAACAGGGGTGGTATTTTGGTCTTCCATCTCCCATCTGTCTTATTTTTTCTCAATTGATTCTGAAATTGGGAAAAATCAGGGTATTCCCTGGTTCCCTCGGACTTCTTACACCTTTCAGTTGCCAAAACCTGTGGTCCCTGCTCAGTCCTTACTGTAACCTAATGGTTGCCCTGGACAAAGTGACCACTTCCTCAGTCTTCCACACTCTCCCTCCATGGCCACTGCTTGTCCTCCTGGCAGGACTGCTCTCCCTGACCTCTATGTGTCGGAACGCACCAAGCTCCAAGATCTATCCTTGGTTCCTGTCAGCTACACACACTCTCCAAGTCTCCTTCCCTGCCTGAGCCTCGATCTGCTGTCTTCATCCTGACAACTCCCAAATGTGTGTTTCCGGCCCCAACCACTCCCCTTGAATCCCGCTAGTCCAGCCAGCTGTTTTGTTGACTACACACTTGGGTGCATGTGTTGGCATCTGAAAGTGAACATGACTCAAATCAAATTATTTTTATGTATTTTTTTTGAGACGGAGTTTCGCTCTTTGCTGCCCAGGCTGGAGTGCAGTGGCATGACCTCAGCTCACTGCAACCTCTGCCTCCTGGGTCCAAGTGGTTCTCCTGTTTCAGCCTCCCAAATAGCTGGGATTACAGGCGCCCGCCACCACGCTCGGCTAATTTTGTATTTTTTGTGGAGACAGGGTTTCACCATGTTGGCCAGGCTGGTCTTGAATCCCTGACCTCAGGTGGTCTGCCTGCCTCGGCCTCCCAAAATGCTATTTTTTTTAACAGGGTTTCACTCTGTTGACCAGGCTGCAGTGCAGTGGCAAGATCACAGCTCACTGTGGCTTCCAACTCCTGGGCTCAAGCGATCCTTCTGCCTCAGCCTCCTGGGTATCTGGGACTAGTGGCGTGCACCATCATGCCCAGCTAATTTTTAATTGTTTGTAGAGATGGGGTCTCGCTACGTTGCCCAGGCTGGTCTCGAAGTCTTGGCCTCCCAACGTGCTGGAATTACAGGCATACCATTCTCAGCTTTTGTTCTATCAATTGTCTTCACCTTAGGAAACTGCAATGCTGTTCCTTTCACTCAGGCACTTACCCTTTTAGTTACTTTCTTTCCAACTCTGCATGAAGTCTCTCAGAGAACTGTTAGTTCTAACTTCAAAATGTACCCTGAATCTGCCCCATTTCATCCTACCTATACTGCTACTACCTTAGTCTAAGCCACCGTCTCCTCCCCTGGAATGTTGGGGTAACAATCTTATTTTGTCCCTTTTTTCTACTTGTCCCTGCCTGAGTACAAAGACTGTTTTCCACTCAGCAGTCAGAATGGTCTTTTAAAAATGTAAATAAACCCCTGTGACTTCTCTGCTCCAAAGCCTTCAATGGCTTCCCATTCACTCTAATGAAATTCCAAGTCCTCACCTCAGCCCTAAATACCCTGGTCCCTGGCTACTTTCTGATGTCTTCTATTGTGCTCCCAGTCCCTGACTCCATACCAGTGACCTTGCTATTTCTGGAACCTACTGAGGACACTGATGCCTCAAGGGATTCATTTCTCTACTTGGAGACCTCTTTGCCCAGGGGTTTGCATGGTTTACCTTATCCTTTAATTCCAGAGTCTGCTCCAGTGTGATCTCCTGAGAGGCCTTCCCTGACTGTGCCATCTAAACACATCCCTCCTTCCCATCCCTCTTTCATCCTTTTATTTAGCTGCTTTCCTCCAAAATACTTACAACTGATGTTGTTAATTTGTTTAAACAATGTCTTCCCCACTGGAATGGGAGGGCACAAGTGCGTGGGCTTGCTTTGTTTGCTGCTGAATTACTGCACCCAGCAGCACACCAGGCACAGGGTGGGTACTCAAAATATCTGTTGGAACAAATCATTGCTTTTAACCTGAGGGCTGCTCCTCCCTCCCTCCTTCTTCCCCAAACACCCAGGACAGCGGCCCCTGCTCATGCTCTGCTCATGATGAAAGCTTGTTAAATTAAATTGACATGTTGGAATTTTAAAATCCTCATTTACCCTTTCCCATCCCAAAAAAACAACATGGCCAGGTGCAGTGTAATCACACCTATAATCCCAGCACTTTGGGAGACCGAGGTGGGCGGATCACCTGAGGTCAGGAGGTGGAGACCAGTCTGGCCAACATGCTGAAACCCCGTCTCTACTAAAAATATTTTTTAAAAAATTAGCCAGGTGTGGTAGCAGCCGCCTGTAATTGCAACTACTTGGGAGGCTGAGGAAAGAGAATTGCTTGAACTGGGGAG